TGCTGCATTTGTAGTGGTGCCTTCCTACTGCATGATTGTTATCTGTAGAGGATGTCCCCTCATCAGGGGAACTGCACTACTGATGACAGCTCTTTCTTCAGAAATCCTCCAGTCTGAAAACAGTGAGTTTAACCCCACAAAGTCTCAATTCAACAACTCATGTGGCAATTCACAAATTTTTGCCACTCTCCCAGTGGAATCTTCACACTTTTGGAGCTCAGATGTGCAGAATCCAAGACCTAGGTCACTGTGAAGACATGCCAGAACTGTCTCCTACAGTAGGATGCTGCCACCAGTGTCAGAGTGAAGCAGAAGTCATTTGGAATGCTATCCTTTTCAGAAACGGCCTCCACCTCTATCCCAGGAGGAAGCTGTTCTGGGGATATTCTTTTCTGGAATAAGGACCCTCAGTGAGATTTGGCTCTTGCTTACCTCCATCTGAAAACCTAACTCTTCCCTGGGAGTGTGAATTGAAGGTTAGGGATGACTGCTCAGGGGGGTGGGGGAAAGTGTGAAATGGTAATCACTTTCATATGACACTTGAGAAATGTTATAATAAAGCTGAGTAAATTGGAGCATGAGTTAGCCAGTCCTTTGCCTAATGATGTCACTCACTTTGTGCTTCCTCCAGCCTATGATTAATAAAAGGGGGTTATTACAGTAACTCACTCCTAGTGGGCAGCAGTGACGTCAGCAGCAGCTGAGCAAACTGACTACATTTAGTCGTGAGTGTGTATGTGGGCATTTTTTTTCCCTGTGACTAACATGAAGCTAACAGCATCTAATAAAACAAAAGCATCTTGAAAGTTAAGGAAGTTATTGAGTGAACTCTTCTCTGCAGGGAGTGCCATTTTAATTGTTCTCATTTCACAGCTAAATGATGTTAGCGTTAGCTAAAATGGAAAACCATTATTGGTTTTCCAGTCGTTTCATTAAAGTGATCATAAATGGTCTTTGAGAGATGAGATTTTTACTTTTAATAGAACAACTGTCCTTCCATCCATCATTCAAGCCCATCTTTCAGGAGGAGTAAGTGTTAAGACAGGGGACTGTGGCTATAAGTTGTCCTTGTAAAGCTTAAGGTTATAGAATTTAGTGACACCAGCTAAACACAAGATTGCTGTATGTTTTTACACTTTAGTTTCGAAAACTGGTAAGATGAATGCTGACAGAATTCTGCTTGCTCACCCACCTTTTAAAATCTGACCTTCCAGAGATTAGCCTGTGGGCACCTGGACATCTTTATTGACCAGGCTGGGCTGGTGCCAGAGCGTGCTTCCAGAGCATGGACAGAAGAGGTCACAGTGCACTAAAGAACGCACCCAGGCTACTGTGGCTTCGACGTGTCTGAGAGCTGCTCCCACAGAAGGACACAACCTTTGGACTTTATCTGGACATGTAGGAGGTAGCAGCTCCCTGACTTAAAACAAAACACACAGACAAACACAGACACACACAGAAACACAAAGAGGGTAGAGGGAGACACAGAGGGAGATAGAGACAGAGACAGAGACAGAGAGACAGAGACAGAGACAGAGAGAGAGGAGAGAGAGAGATTGGACAGCCTCAAGCTTTTCATTGGCTTTTGCTTTTTGGATCTATATTTGGATAACAGGTTGTAGAGTTATCTTTGTGGATAAGCAAAACTGGATTAGAATCAAAGCCTCTGCACTCTTATCAATCTAATGGAAACTACACACTAAGTCTCTATGTCCTCATAGCTGTGTCCTCAAGCCAGGAATATGGGACTTGTTATCCTAAGGGTTCCAGGTAAGGAAAAGTATGGTAGCAGTCTGTTCTAAATTCCTTTGAAAGTGTTTTACATAATCTTTTGGGGGAAATAAATCAATTTCTGTAGTAGATGTTTCTTGATTCAGTTTTAACTGGGTTATGACAATTAATGAACATATGTATGTTGGTAAGAACTTTGAGAAGAAGGCATATTTATATAGTTTCTCTATAGGTTACAAGTGATTATTGAGTTTTTGTATGTGCTAGCCACTCTAGGGAAGAAATCCAGGCATCTATGAATCATTTGGGAGTTGATTGAGGCTTTTGGTTCTAAAATGACCATTTACCTGAGTAGACTATGATTCATATCTTGGAGGAGATGACATGGCGTCATGATGTCTAAGACACTCCTTTCATGGCTCTGTCCATCGACAAATGAACTCTGACTTACTCTCTCCTTTCCAGATGATCTGAGCCACTAAGAAGCTAAGCCATGAACTTAGGACAGTGGCCCTTGTCATCTGAACAGCATTCACACCTAAGGTGGCTTGTTGTAGGCTGTTTCTGTCTTCCATATTTATCATTTGTTGTTGACGACACCTTTTCTGTGTCTTTCACAAGCATGTCTGTCTCTTCTTGGAGGAGCAGCACCTGGAGAGCCACAGCCTTCCCTTATCCACTCCAGCTCATTATGAGAAGGGCACTTGCAGGATAATATGTTGATTGGAATGAACATTATGATTTAGACAAAAACGCTGCTTTATTTCTTTGGATATTAATTGTATGTCATTATCTTAAGTACTAGGCAATGAAAATAAAATCTATCGGCCTTTTCTTCTTCTATCTCATATTTGCAAAACTTCATTTGGGAGATTCACTGTTGCATGAATTGAGCTGTAACTAAATGGCTAAAGTGAAGAACCCAGGTCTTGATTTACTTTTCTGTGAGTCCATTATCTTCGAACACATTGGGTATGAGTCAATCCATCTAGATTTGTTGCTTGCCACCAAGTCTGCCCTTGGTTTAACCCAAAAACTGGCTAAGACTGTATTGAAGGCATATGAAATTTGGGTGGGGGCAGCAAGGCTGCCTATGGAAATCAGGTATTTGTTGTCTGGTATTTCGAGTTATTGGGTACCACACATGCATGAGGAAGCAGTGTCACTTCAAACACTAATACTATGCATAATTGGATTCTTTTCCAGTGTTATAAACTGGATGTCCAAGTCATCTTGGAACACAGATGGAAAGGGAATTGGGTGAAATCTTAAAATCATGACTCTAACTCAGGGCTTCTCACTGTATAATCATTGCTAATTTCTCTAGCGTGGGCACCATCCTGTGCTGTGCATTGTAGGAGAGTTCTCAGCATTGGCCTCTGTTCAGTAGATGCCAGTAGCACCTCCTTCCTGGTTGTGACAGCTGAAAGCATTGTCAGATGTCCCAGAGAGAGAAACTGGTTCAGCTGAGAACCACTGTTCTGGAGTGAAGAACAACAGTTTACTTACTGAATTTTTTTCCTTCTTTTTCTTTTCTCATTTTTAGCTCTAGCATCTGGAGCCACTGTTCAAATAACAGTCTTCAATACCCTGAAAACAGGCCCTCATAGACAGCATGAGGCCTGAAGGGTTATACAGGTAGTTCTGAGAAAAATGTGTCTTAGGAATCAGGGAGTTTGGGGTTAACTGTTTCTGATTTGTTGTTTTGGATACAGTTCAGAGAAATTTGAATGCTCTCCTTTCCACTTCTGTTTTGAACTATTCATTCTTGTTCTAAGCTTAGAAGCACACAGCCTCCTAGTTGGATTTTGACTGCAAAGTGCCGCTCCATCTCTGGCCCAAATCCTGGTATCTAACATTTGGCCCAAACTGGTTGCAGGCTGTAGCCTGTAGGAAACAGACAGGTTTGCCAACCCCATGCTCTACCAAAGCCATTTGATGGGATGGTTAAACAGGGACTCCCACAGTTTACTGCAGCAAATAGCATCCAGAATCCTGCCCATGTTTTCTGGATGCTGTGCTGTCTCCTGTGGGGAGAGGGTCACTGCTAACCAAGGAGGCCAGGTTTTCTTTCCTAAGCCCAGAATAACATGTAGCTGATGAGAACACCTCGAAAGTTCTTTTCATTTCCACAGTCACGTTTCATATTTACTTTCCCAGTAAGGGAGAAATCATGATTTTTTTTTTTTTTTTGGAAACAGATTTTTCATGTGAAGGAACCAAACACCGTGAGTTATCAGCAGCTTGTCCGTGCCTCTGAACTAACAGCCTCCTGTCATTCAGTTGAATCAGAGGACACTTGTCAGTCACATGCTTAGGGTGTCCCCATCCTCTGGCTTGCATGTTTGACTGAATCATAGGATCTATGAGCAGCAGCTAACCACAGAGTCGTGGAAAACGGCCTCCTTTCGAAGCGAAGCCTGTTTCCTTGTTTCAGAGATCGTGAGGGAAGAGCGATTAATAGCCTGGATGAAAGCTTAAGGACATACGGTTTGCTTGAGAGAAAAAGTGAATATTCTCACTTCTTGATCTCTGCCAACTTTATATGGGCCCAGCTGCTGCACAGGGCAAACACACTAGTCCAGAGTTAGCTACGCCCCTAAGATGTGTGTCACAAGCCACTGGCCAGCACTGAAATGCAGGTTTCCCTCATCTGCACAAAGGAGCTCTATCCTCAAAGGAACTTTGTTTCTTGACCAGCTCACTAATTGTGATTGAAAACACCAGCTCCCCAGCAATGCTCACGCATCCGAGTTAGCAGAAACAAGACAGGCCCTAATTGCTCCATTTACATAAAAGTAGAAACATACAACTTCTAAATATAAATCTCTGGCACATCGCTCCTTTTGCAATTACAGTAAAATAAGGTACCAGTTTCCCTCCGGGCTCCCCCTCACAGCAAGCTGCTCCCCGGGTTCGCTAGTGTCTGCTCTTCCAGGCGAGCACAGGGCCAGCGTGGAGTTGGAGCTTTGTGAAGTAGCCAGTAAATCAGAACGCCTCCGCTAGGTGCAGAGCGCGGTGGCAGCGGGCCACTCTGCCAGTGCGGTAGTCGGTGGGACCGAACTCCACACTCGGGAAGGGGCAGTCTGCGGGCGCCGGGCCTGAGCTGCCGCTCGCCTCGCTTGGCCAGGAGACCGGCAGCCCCACTGCAGGTCCCGGTCCCTGACATTCCCTGGCACTGAGGGCTGGGATCAGAGATTCCCAGCTGCACTCACTGAACAGTGATTTTTTTTTCTTTCCCCTCCCTGAATTCTTTAGCTGCCAAAAGGGGGGGAAAAATCAAGAGCTGCGCTTTTAAACGAAGTTGCCCTTGCTGGTGTTCAGGGTAAAAATAGAGGCGGTCGCTTGGACCAGCTTGGCCCTGAGTCCAGGCGTCCCGCGAGCCGGGCTGGAGCTGCGCATTCGGGAGTGATCCCTGGAAACTGCCAGCAGGTGCTGCTCAAGGTACGGTGGCAGGCTGAAAAGGGACAGGGCCTGGGTGCAGGGAGTCTCCGCGGGAGGGGCAGGAAGTGAAAGAGAAACCAACCCCGCTCAGAGCTGCGCTGACCAGCGCACGCCCTGGGCCCTGGAATTCAGCTGGGAAACGCTGATCCTCAGCCCAGAATATTCCACAGAAGCTATTTTAACCTGCCTGCTTCCTCTACCACCCCCACCTGGATTTCCACGGAAAGAGAGGAGGCTTTCCCAACGTAGTTCCAGCTTCTGAGGTGGGGGGGTGGGGTGGGGGGAGATCCAGCTACGTCATAGCTGCTAGACTGGCTTAGCAGGTTGACACTTTCAGGGTGTCAAAGGCCAACAGGGTCTCAGAGTGACCCTGTGTGAGGTGGCCCCTACAGTCAGGATCTTGAACATTCCCATGACACACATGTGCTTAAGAAACCACTGGGATCCTCAGAAATAACGTTCTTTTGTGACCACTGAGTTTTGATTCTGATATTATACATCCCACTTTATAGATGGAAACACTGAGGCTTGAGTTTAAATGAGGAGGGAGCCTCGGAGCTGGGGTCTGATCCAGGCACTTTTCTGTGCCACCCAGTCTACATTCTACATTCGGGTGCAAGTGGTACTTTCTCTGAAGTTATATGTAGACAAGAAGTGAGTTTAGATGCTCAGGGGTTCTTATCAAATAGTATGGAAGTGTCTCTCTTCCAAAGGTTTATGTTCATCCTGGGGCTGGAGTGGAGTTGACCATCATTGATTTTCTTTCTATCTTTGCCACCCATATTCCTGTCATCTTCCCCTGCAACTTTATTTCCTACTTCAGTTCTCTTACATGAAAACTCCTCTCCCCTCCTCCCCCATACAGCTAACATCCACACTTCATATACAGTCAAGAGAGACCCTCGAACAGACAGCTCCTGGTGTCGTAAAGGAGCCTTTCCCACTCGCATCAGGAGACCAGAACCTCTATATTTTGCTTGTGGGCACAGTGAAAAGTTTATTTTATGCATGTTAAATCCGGCACACAAAACAACATATCTGGTCATATGGCTTTCATTAGCTCCCAATTTTGCACATTTTATCCAACTTGTCATAAGAACCTGGCCAGTGCCTCAGCTGTACTCCTTCCTGAGAACAAGCGCCCTTCTTCACTGTGCTTATCGGACCATTCCTTCTATGTTATCTCTCTGCTAGTGTGACCCAGGCAAAAGAAAACTCAAACCTACCTTTACTTCCATTTTAAGGAGAGTTCACTTCTTTTCGTTAAACTCATATTTATAGTGTTTTCAAGTGATTGAACTTGAATTTCTAGTGTTTAAAGAAAAGATGCAATTTTTGTGTGTTATTGTTGTTTTTGCTAGTTAGGATGGGATTCTAAAGATCCAGGTAGGGTACTTATGAAGTTCACTTGCAAAGAAAGACCATTTCCCAAGTCTGAGGTGATACATGATGTATGAAGCAGGCATTCCATTTCAAGGTGTAAATTAATAGTGTGAGTCTAAGTAGGGAGACCATCACCACATGGACATTCAGAATTTCCCGGCATTTTCCTTAAGAAAATGGTTCACTCTAATCATAATTATAAAACTAGAACTTCTATAAAGAACACTATGAATTTTCTTTGCTGTGGTAAAAAAGCGTGGTGCTTTGCAAATAGAAGTAACTTTATGAAGTCACAGATGTTTTATTTAAAGACATAAAGCTGAGCCTGAGTCTAATAAGAGGTGCATGAATGAACAGTAGGATGTCAAAGCTGGACACTCTTGGAGATGTGTGTATTTGGTTCTCTTATGTTTGTAAAGGGTGGACTATTCCTAGCCACAGGCTTTACTGGCTCAGTACATCACCCAGGTCGTGTCTCAGAAGCCAAGAGAGATTTCCATTAGATAATGAATTATGAAATGTCTCACACTGGAAAAACGAGTCATCTGCTGATGTCATGCTGATTCTAACCAATCCTAAACAAAGCCCCAGCCCTCCTCTTTGAGAGGTACCAATGTGTGAGTGTACAACTAAGTACTACAGTATAAAACTTCACAGTGCCAATACCATGAAGAGGAACTCAGACAGCTCTGACCTCATGAGACAAGAGCCGGCTGACAAAACAGAAGGGACCCGAAAGGTAATGCTTTTAAATTCTTGCTTGCAAGCTCTCTACACATTAAAAGTCAGTATGGCTAAAAGGACTTTTACAACTTTTTGGCACCTCCATAGACATTATAATTTGTATCTTTTTCTATTGTACAAGCAGGTTAATACCGTTTTTTAATAGTCCTAGAGCATGCAAATAGATTATGTGTTTATACAACCCACTCAACACACATATACAAGTACATATGCCAAAAAGAAAGCTATTTTTAAGAGTTCCATTTGCAAACAGTAAATCCAGGGAACACACACATATTCACATGCGGAGAGAATCCAAACATTGATAAGTTGCTCTTATCCAAATGCTACTATTAGGACTCTCGAGTTGTTTAGAGTCATTAAACTTTTAGCTCTAAGTTAGTCTGTCTCGTAAAACTTAACTGCATTACAAAATGCTCCGGGTTCTGTATCTGTAACTCCAAATAGGTGGGTGATGCTATTATAACACAAAGATGTTCTCCTGAACCATTGTGATGCCAGTGCTCCTACTTCTCTTGATTTTTTAAAATGAGAGTTTTAGGTAATATGGATAGTCTTACCAACAACAGCAGAGTCCTTGGTGTTTCTGGAGCTGGGAGTCCTCCTAGCCCCGCAAAGGTGTCAGAGGGCTTGTAACCTAGAAAGTTTTCTTCATTGTTGCTTTGAGAAAAAAGATAGCATTTGTGTGGTTCAGGAAAGCATTGTTACCTGTCAAAACCGAAGGTTAACCTAGTGTCATGATTTTAACAACTTCCTTCTCCTTGGTATGTAGATGTTATACTTGTAGTTCTGACACCTAATAACTCCATCCTCCTGGCCTGCTTTGCTAGACTAGAATGCTCTGGACACAGTAGGTGTCAAGACAGAAGGGAATGTGTCTACAGAAACCAAGAGGGCTTCTATGTAGGGAAGAAACTGAGAAAGAAGGACTGCTTTAACAGAAGGGCACCTTAAAGATACTTCTGCATGATAAAAGCAATAAGACAGAGAATGAAAAGGTGGCGTGAAGAATTTTTTTTAAACAGCCCCAGAAAGGCATTGTTTTAAAGTGCACATTTTTCTTGTTCTTTGAATACTGTAATCCTCAATGAACTCAGCTCTGCTGGTATTTTGAAGAGAAATGACACAGCCAGGCAGCTTGCCATGAATCCTATGCTATGGTCAAGGGTTACTAGGGGTGGTGGGCAAGCAGAACAACAAAACAAGAGTAGTGCATGTCAGAGAAAAAGAATCTGCCAATATATTTAGAGATTCTTGTCCTCTAGGCCAGTTACTCATATCATAAGAGTGCATTGTTTTTCGTGAAAGGATGTGAGAAAGGCCAAATGAATTCTGTGGAGCTTTATCTGTGAAGCCAGGACAATGGGCAGTGGGCTATAATTTTTGAATATGTGTGCATCCAGGGTAGAGAGAGGAGATGCAGGAGGCATGGGGAGGGGGGGTTAAGTACCTTCTCTGACTATGTAAAATGCTACTTGCTCAAGGGAGCTTCCAATGCCCTGCTGTGTTGCCCAGTTGGCAAAAGCAGAGTGTATTATATGACCCCAGACAAAAATTCTGCTGCGCTCCAGGTCCCATAAGATCTCTAGCTGACATTAGGACCCTGGACATTTAAATAAGAATGAATGGCAGAAAGAAATGGTTGTGGATTCTGTCAGGCAGAACAACCAGCTGTCTCAGGCAGCCCCTCTGCCCCAGTCCCAGACCCCTGACCTGTGCTACCAATCTGAGGACCTCCCTCAGACCCACATCAGCGCCAGGTGGGTACTTACTCCAGGAAAGTTCAAGGCCATGGGAGATGACTTGGGGGCCCTTTGCTATCTAGTTATCTCAGTGAATGGAAACAGTGCATTAATTTGCTTGATTTTCCCCTCCAAACTAGGAAAGGTGAGGCAAGAAAAAGGATTGAGCAGAGAAAGATGAAAAGAAAGAAAAAAAATAAAAGTAGAAAAAAAAGAAACCCCCAGACTAAAAGTGAATAGAATTAGAAGAATTTATTGTAGAAAGGACTGAGTAGTTCCCATCCCCCTCCACCCCCCCCAGAAAATGGTAGGATTGGAAGAGAGGTGTGCATGAGGGAGCAAGGAGCAGCGGGAAGGCAGCCTGTCAGAGACGGGCTGTCCCTCCTCCCTAGTCACAGCTCATACTCACAGACGCCCTCCCTCCTCCCTCTCCCATTCACTCACTCACTTAGGGCCAATCCGTCTCTCTCTCTCTCTCTCTCTCTCTCTCTCTCTCTCTCTCT